TATGATCATTCCACTGCATTCCAGCCTGGGTGACAAAGTGAGACCCTGTCTCAAAAAAAGATACATAAAATATATTTTTATAAAATATATACATATATATGATATGACATATATATATTATCTATCATATATATGATATATATCACATATATTTAATAATTTTATAACATGACATATCACATATTATATCATATATAAATATATCTATGATAGATAATATATGCACATCACATCTTATGTATATTATATATAAATATATTCTATTTCTCAGGAGAACCCTAATACACCAGATTAAAGGCTTGAAACAGTGATTGCTGGGGAATGGAGGGAGGGGGCCATTTGTGGGGAGGGATGGGACCAGGAACTGCATTTTTCATTCCAAGTTTTATCATCCTTTTTGGCTTTTAAAACTATGTACATGCATTAATGTGATAAAAATTTAAAGTAAATTTAGAAAACACAACAAACCCAAGATATTTTCTTTGTTAAAATTAAAGTATATTAAAATGTGACCAACTCCTTTAAGCTAGTATAGTGAAATAAAAAATAAAAACTTGTTTGTTCCTGTCTTGTTGCATTTCAATGATTCCCAAGGCTCTTCTCTGTGCTCCAGGTTCCTCATGTTGTATTAAATGAAGACCATTTTACCATCTTCACAAGGAAGGAGGAACAACCAATAAAAAATGGTTGATAGGTGTAAAGAGGCCTGAAAGGATAAGGAATCCAGGGCAAGTCTTTTTGGCTGAAAATTGTTAGAAAGTGAGATACGACAAAGAATTATAGATTAAAGCTGGCAATAACTGAGCAGCAAGTGTTGTGCTGGGCCCTTTCTTTGCATTACATCGTTTAAATCCTCACAATGATCCTATGAGTTAGGCTAGACTATTTCCCCCATTCTACAGATAGAAACCCTTTCAAAGGATGAGTAATGTGTCAAAGGAAGTGGCAAAGCCTGGATTTAAACTCAGATCTGTCTTGCTTGAAAGTCTAAGCTCTTGGAAACTTCCAGTGTATTTGAGCAAAACCAAAATAACAATCTGGGGGGTGGGGATAGGGAGGTAGGAGGAATCACTGTGGCTGCCAGGTCTCATGACAGGAGTACAAGAGAAAACTACCCAGTACTAACTGAAGCTCTAAAAGAATGATCCTGCTTCACTAAGGAATGCCACAGTAGATTGTCACATGAGCACCACTAGAATAAACTGAAGTATATGTACATTAATTCACCAAACGTTTATTAAATGTCCCTGAGTTGGTGACGGAGTTAGGGAATAGTAATATAAATTCTTCACTTATATAATCTAATTCACTTAGATATGAGGAGTTTCTTTTTTATTACATTTAACATTATTATTATACTTTAAGTTCTGGGATACATGTACAGAACACACAGGTTTGTTACGTAGGTATACAGGTGCCATGGTGGATTGCTGCACCCATCAACCCGTCATCTACATTACGTATTTCTCCTATTGCTATCCCTCTCCTACCCCCCGACCTCGATATCCCTCCTCTAGTCTCCCCACCCCCCAACAGGCCCCAGTGTGTGTCATTCCCCTCCCTGTGTCCATGTGTTCTCATTGTTCAACTCCTGCTTATGAGTGAGAACATTCGGGGTTTAGTTTTCTGTTCTTGTGTTAGTTTGCAGAGAACGATGGTTTCCAGCTTCATCCATATCCCTACAAAGGACATGAACTTATCCTTTTTTATGGCTGCATAGTATTCCATGGTGTATATGTACCACATTTTCTTTATCTGGTCTATCATTGATGGGCATTTGGGTTGGTTCTAAGTCTTTGCTATTGTGAACAGTGTGCAATAAACATACGTGTGCATGTGTCTTTACAGTAGAATGATTTATAATCCTTTGGGTATATACCCAGCAATGGGGTTGGTTCTAGACCCTTGAGGAATCACCACACTGTCTTCCAAAATGGTTGAACCAATTTACATTCCCACCAACAATGTAAAAGTGTTCCTATTTCTCCATATCCAGATATGAGGAGTTTCTTGAAGAATTACTATAAAATTAGGGGCTTTTTACTATCCTGAGACATATTATCAATATTCAGTTTCTTAAAAGAAATTTGTTCTTCTAGTATTAATGTTATACTCTGACTCTTTCAGCAGAGGGCACTAGGTAACCAAGACAGTTTTGAACGTCACGTGGCAAAATAGTTAATAAAAGTATCTTTTTGAGCTTTATCTAAAAACAGAGTCATGATTTTTAAAAGCATATGAAATGTTCAAAACCAGAATAAGCCATAAACCAAAGAAAGGAGGTTTGAAATACGAATATTAGCAAGATCACTCAGGTCAATATCCTAGATGCATACACAATTATAGATTTTTTTTAGTGTTCTGTTTATAAAATGATTTCCATTACTTATCTGCAAGCCTGTATTAGTGCCACCAGGAAATGTCAGTTTATCACCTAGCACTGAGAGAGATGGCTTAGGGTAGGGGAATAAATCCTGGGCCAGAAGCAAAAAATCTAGCGTTTGATAGGACCTCCCTCCACTCACATTACCTTTTACCAATTCTGTGACCTGGAGCAAAATACTTAATCCTTTAGAGGTGTTGTTTCCACACCTCTAAAACAGTGATAATGTCTCTCTTGCTTATGAATGTGAAAATGTGTTGCAAATGTTGTAAATGCATAAGGTATTATTAACATATAAAAAGTCAAGCTGTTAGAAAAGAAATTCTAGAAACAAAATGCAATCCTACATAATTTCCTTTTGATTCCAGGCCTGTAACAATTGGCTTTGGAATCTTCTGATAGTAGTATAAATCCTATTAGTTCAAACAGATGAAAAGCAGCAATCTATAGTCACGATTTTAAGATTATTGTTTTCCAGACTCTTAAGATTTTGCAAGTCTGTTTTTTTCTTTTTTTCCTTGAGACAGTGTCTCACCATCACCCAGGCTGTAGTGCAGTGGCACAATCTCACCTCACTACAGTCTTGACCCACCAGGTTCAAGCAATCCTCCTCCTGCCTCAGCCCCCCAAGTAGCTGGAACTACAGCCTATGCCACCACTCCGGGCTAATTTTTGTCTTTTTAATAGAGATGGGGTTTCACCACGTTGGCCAGGCTGGTCTCGAACTCCTAAGCTCAAGTGATCCGCCTGCCTAGGCCTTCCAAAGTGCTGGGATTACAGACATCAGCCACCACGCCCAGACTACAAGTCCCTTTTCCACATCAAAGAAAAAATACAAATTAATTCATAAAGATTTGCTAAAAGATCTTTTCATCATGTGATCATCAATCGTCCTCAAACTGCCACTCATTTGCGTAGAGAGATTTCTCAGTTTTCAGGGAGAAGGCACATCTGGCTATATGCTTTTCATTTTCTTTTTTTTTTTTTTTTTTTTTGGGACGGAGTTTCGCTCTTGTTACCCAGGCTGGAGTGCAATGGCGCGATCTCGGCTCACCGCAACCTCCGCCTCCTGGGTTCAGGCAATTCTCCTGCCCCAGCCTCCTGAGTAGCTGGGATTACAGGCACGCGCCACCATGCCCAGCTAATTTTTTGCATTTTTAGTAGAGACGGGGTTTCACCGTGCTGACCAGGATGGTCTCGATCTCTTGACCTCGTGATCCACCCGCCTCGGCCTCCCAAAGTGCTGGGATTACAGGCTTGAGCCACCGCGCCCGGCCGCTTTTCATTTTCTTATGCATACTCAGATACATACTGTTTGCATGCCTGACTAGAAGTATGGCCACCCATCATCACTTCCGAATTGCCTTTATGAGTAATGTTTCCATAAACCAATTAATAGGATATGATTATATGTTATGTGTGGGAAACTAAATAACAAAAAGATCAAATGTATAAGTGGGAGCTAAACATTTAGTACATACGGGCACAAGGGGAAAAAAAAAACACTGGGACCCACTGGAGGGTGAAGGGAGGGAGGAGGGAGAGTATGCTTTCTGATAATCATAGAACCAGCAAAAACCACTGGAACCACTTGGAGCTACTAGAAAATTAGCATTCTGCCGGTGAGGTGGCTCACACCTGTAATCTCAGCACTTTGGGAGGCCTGGATGGGCGAATCACTTGAGCTCAGGAGTTCGAGACCAGCCTGGCCAACATAGTGAAACCCTAACTCCACTAAAAATACAAAAATTTGTTGGGCACAGTGGCACGTGCCTGTAGTCCCAGCTGCTAGGGAGGCTGAGCCAGGAGGATTGCTTGAACTTGGGAGGTGGAGGTTACAGTGAGCAGAGATCATGCCACCGCACTCCAGCCTAGGTGACAGAGCAAGGCTCTGTCTCAGAAAAAGGATGAAAAAAGAAAAGGAAATAAAATTAGCATTCTCTCTTATTACTCTTTTGTTTACACAATCAAATATATTTTAACAGTTACTACATGTGAGACCCTGTGGGAGATGCTAAAGATACATTAGGGAAAAAGAACAAAGATACAAAACCAGCCACGTCCCTACATATTCCTGGAGATTCATGTGAAGGGCCAGGGGCACACAAAAAATGTGAGGAGTGAAGGAAAATAGTTGAGTTGTGAATATTTTGTAAAGAAAGTAAACATGAGGCTGAAATACTAAAGAACAGAGGAAAACGATCGTAGACAGGCTGCTCAGGAAGTCAGGTCAAGAAAAGATGCTGACATTTCAGCTGAAACCTGAGGAGAGGCAGCGTTTCAGGGGTTGCAGCTCTCCCAACAGAGGCAATAAATAGCATGCGCAAAGGCCCTGAGAAGAGAAAGATCCTGATGTGCCTGAGGAACTGAAAACAAAACAAAACAAAACGGAACAAAAGCCAGATGCTCAGAGCACAGCAAGCAAGGGGAAGAATGCCTTTAAAAAACAAGATTAAGTTGAGGTCGGATACCAGGTTTTGTGGGCTATGGCAGGCTTTGGATTTCATTCTAAGGAAAATATAAAGTCACTGAAGAATTTTAAACGAGAAATAACATCATTGGATTTGTATTTTAAGAAGATTCTTGCTACTTGGAGAAGAATGGGTTGGAAAGGGACAAGAATAGCAACAGGAAGATAAAAGTCTAATGCAATTGTCCCTGAGATAGATGACAATGAACTCAATAAATGTGCTGATGGAGATGAAAAGTGGTTCATAAATTTCACATGTATTTTAAGAGATACTGATAGTTTTACTGGTTATTAGTAAAGTGTTTCAATGCAAAATATACCTTGGAAAATAACTCAAAATATGATAATTTCATTTGACAGAACGAGTTCTGTTAACTTTTAATGATCTCAAAGCTGTTATCAAGCACTTTAATCAATTCATTATATATTAATTAAATATCTTTGGAGTGTATAGAAATGAAATTTGAGGCTAGGCATGGTAGCTCATGCCTGTAATCTCAGTACTTTGGGAGGTCGAGGCAGGCAGATCAGCTGAGATCAAGAGTTCAAGACCACCTTGGTCAACATGCCAAAAGCCTGTCTTCACAAAAAATACAAAAATTGGCCGGGCACGGTGGCTCATGCCTGTAATTCCAGCACTTCGGGAGACTGAAGTGGGCAGATCATGAGTCAGGAGATGGAGACCATCCTGGCTAACATGGTGAAACCCCCCGTCTCTACTAAAACACAAAAAACTAGCTGGGCGTGGTAGCACGAGCCTGTAGTCCCAGCTACTCAGGAGGCTGAGGCAGGGGAATGGCTTGAACCTCGGAGGCGGAGGTTGCAGTGAGCCCAGATTGCACCACTGCACTCCAGCCTCATGACAGAGTAAGACTCCGTCTCAAAAAAAAAAAAAAAAAAATTTAGCCAGGTGTGGTGGCAGGAGCCTGTACTCCCAGCTACTCGGAAGGCTGAGGCAGGAGAATCGGTTGAACTCAGAAGGCAGAGGTTGCAGTGAGCCAAGATTATGGCAGTACACTCCAGCCTGGGCAACAGAACAAGACTTTGTCAAAAAGAAAAGAAAAAAAGAAAGGAAGGGTAAGGGAAAAGGAGGAAAGGAAGGAAGGGAAGGAAGGGAGGAAGGAAATAAAACTTAAGAGAGATCCTTCTTTTTAAAAATGCTTATCACTTTGGAAATCAAAAGCTTCCTGAATAAACCAATTGGAAAATAACCTATTGTTTAACATAAAACTAAATTGTATGGGGCAGAAAATAAGCACTCAGAAAGGATAGAGATTAAAAAATAATTTGGACTATCAAGGAATTTTTATGGTCCCCAAATTGGAGATTCTTCCTGGGCTTTTAAGGAGGGATAAAGTTTAGGTAAACCAACAAGTTTAGGCAGGGAAAGGATTTTACTTTTGGGGTTTCCACTCATCTCAGAATAATTTCTCCTTTTTCTCTCAGAACTGGCCCTCTCTCCATAGGAATGGGCACCGAGTGGACATCCAGTGCAGTCTAATCAATCTTGCCACAGAGAAGTAATTGCACTGGATGCTTGGCCCACATCAAGTCAAGCCAATCAAACTTTATATCTCAGGAATTCTGAATTGAGGTTCAAAATAGGGAGGTACCTCCCTAAACATGGCTGGAACCATACCACATAAAATCAGGAGCCACAGATGGGTAGAGAAGTGGGGAAAGCTAATCTTCAGGGAGAAAGAGTAACAGAAAAAAAAAATCCTTAATTATTGGTTCTAGAACCTACTAGATGCTTCCAGAGTCTGTTACTATATTCTTGTCCTTGAGTTCTGTGAGAAAACGCCGCATCCTTAAAATCGTTTCCCTTTTTGCTTAAATTACTTTGTGCTAGTTGTTATTCAGAACCAATGTACCTTATCCAAGCTCAGTAGTCATAAAAATAAGAATAAGCATGATGAACAGACAGCATTGACTGTAACAGACTATCATTCTATACACAAAATATTGAGGAAAAACATAAGGCTAGGCACCATCTTTAACAAGCATAAATTTAGTGGAGTATGATACACAGCATGCCAGAATTGCAATGACACCTCATGGATACTGATATCAAAGATTCTTCAGGCAAAGAATGAAAATGACATTATCAGACAGGAAAAGTAGTCATGAATTAGGGACTCATACTTTCAGGTGGAAGCATTAATTCTGAAGATTAATTTGGCAATATCTATTAAGATTCTTTAAATGGATATAGCACTTCTTTCAACAAAGAAATTAAGTTCTTAGTATATATCAGGTGCATGTCTAGGTAGCGGAAATAAAGTACTAAACAAGAAAGGTAAATTCTCTGCCCTGTGGAACTTACAGGGAGAGGGGGAAGAAATAATAAATTAATTACAAAATTGCCTATAATTTCTAGGAATTTGACAAGGTAAACAATCAGATAACTATACACAGATGTAGGCACAAACATGTTGACACATTACAATGTTACTTATAATTTTTAAAAATTGGGCTGGATATGGTGGCTCACGCCTGTAATCCCAGTACTTTGGGAGACCAAGGTGAGTGGATCACCTGAGGTCGGGAGCTCAAGACCAGCCTGACCAACATGGAGAAACCCTGTCTCTACTAAAAATACAAAAAAATTAGCTGGGCCTGGTGGCACATGCCTGTGCCTTCAGAGGTTGTGGTGAGCCGAGATTGCGCCATTGCACTCCAGCCTGAACAACAACAGCGAAACTTTGTCTTAAAAAAAAAATTGGAGGCCAGGCACGGTGGCTCATGCCTGTAATTCTGGCATTTTAGGAGGCCGAGGTGGGTGAAATATCTGAGTTCAGGAGTTTGAGACCAGCCTGGCCAAGACGGTGAAACCCCGTCTCTACTAAAAATACAAAAATTAGCCCGGCGTGGTGGTAGGCACCTGTAATCCCAGCTACTTGAGAGGCTGAGGCAGAAGAATAGTTTGAACCTGGAAGTTGGAGGTTTCAGTGAGCCAAGATCACACCATTGCACTCCAACCTGGGCAACAAGAGCGAAACTCTGTCTCTAAATAAATAAATGGAAACAACCAGCCAGGCACTTTGGCTCACTCCTATAATCCCAGCACTTTGGGAGGCCGAGGTGGGCGGATCACCTGAGGTCAGGAGTTCAAAACCAGCCTGGCCAACATGGTGAAACCCCATCTCTATAAAAATACAAAAATTAACCAGGCATGGTGGCAGGAGCCTGTAATCCCAGCTGCTTGGGAGGCTGAGGCAGGAGAATCTCTTGAAATCTTGGAGGTGGAGGCTGCAGTGAGCCAAGATCGTGCCACTGCACTCCAGTCTGGGCAACACCTCATTCTCAAAAAAAAAAAAAAAAAAATTGGAAACAACCTAAGTGTCCAATAATAAGGAATCGATTACATAAATTATGATATAACATAGCACATCATTGTTTGGATATAATTTAAAATCTTTTAAAATAGTAATGGCTAACGTTCATTAAGTGCTTACTATGTGCAAGGTATTGTTCTAAGCGTTTTAGGTGCAGTAACTCCTATAATTACTCATTCAATAAACACAAAAGTCCTGTAGTAGGTATTTCATTATCATCTCCATTGTATAGCTAAGAAATCTGTTGCATGGAGAGGCTAAGTAACTCACCCATAATTGTATAGCTAATAAGTAGGAGAGGTAAGATTTTAATCCAGAGAAGAGTTTAACTTTAGAAACTGTGCTCTTAACTCCACTATTCCCTAAGAAACATTCCAATGTGGAAAAATATCCATAATATAGGTCTAAGTTAAAAATGCAATATATTAATCTAATTTGATACATAATTTTTAAAAAATAAATTATGTATGTACTTTTACCCAGAAAAAAGGAAGAGATTCCAAAATATTAATAAATTAATTTCCCTGAATAGTAGGCTTACAAATTTCAGTTCTCTTCTTGGTCTGTTTAATATTTTCTGAAACTTTTTGTACTTAACATGGATTACTTAGTAAAGAGGGTATAATTTGTGCCAAGGCTTAAAGGATGAAGAGAAATTAAGTAAGAATTACGAGAAAAGTAAATGGGAGGCGGTTTCAAATTAGCTACCGTAATCTCTACAGTGAATTAGAAAGCAGGAGAAAATCCACCTTCTAGAAGTTGCATCTTCCAAGATATTTTTCAAAAAAAATTTGATGACTGACATTTAGGGCATTTTGTCATTTTTATAAAATGAAAGCGATACCATGAGACAGAAGGTGACATGTCCACCAAAATTAAAACGGAGCTAGAAAGAGAAAAAAAAATTCTGATAATCCAGCCACTTGTCTACATTGCTAATATTGAGAAAATGTCTTTTCCAGGTTTTTGAGAGTCTCTTTGTTGAAGAAAAGCATCAGGATGCTCAGGAAATGCAGAATAAGTAAACAATTATATACAACTCAAGGCAGGTATGATAAAGTGTTATGGTGATATCAAACATATTTTAAACAATTACAAAGACAGGAAGGACGACTTCTAGGCAGTTCAATAGAACTTAGCGATGAAGAATGGTAGAAATTCAACGGACAAAGAAGAGAAGCAAAGACTGCATTCTAAGTACTGTAGCAGGTGTGGAGGCAGAAAACCACAGGATGTATTAATGTTGATGCCACACAGAGTATTTTGAATTCCAGGCACACTGCCAGGAATGTACGCCCTAAGTTTTATCTTCTACGCAGTGCTGAGAAATAGGCCAGCACCCTCTAGGCAGGAGATGTGAAAGGCTTTAGGATGTCTTTTCAGGACTATCTGAGTTGTTCAGGATCTTTCACTTGAAGATAACAGCATTGGAAGTTCCTTAGCAGAGTGGCCAAAGCAGCTTACTCTACAGTAAATTTCATAGTTGACAAGCCATACTCATGGGCTCACAGCTTCCTCTCAGCCTTTTAGTGGTTTGAAACAGATGAGCGAAGATTGAAGTTATCTAAGGAAAGCCTCTAACAAATATGTAAAAGTGGAGGAAATGAAGACTCTGGAGAGAATACTCCCTAAAGAAAACCCTCATTAAATATCCTGAGAGATGCCAGGCATGTTGACTCATGCCGGTAATCCCAACAGTTTGGGAGGCGGAGGCGGGTGGATCACTCGAAGTTGGGAATTTGAGACCAGCCTGGACAACATGGTGAAACCCCCTCTCTGATGAAAATACAAAAATTTGCTGGATGCGATGATACTCACCTGT